TTAAAATCAAAAGGCATGTGTCTAGTTCATGACAAGTAAAACATGGAAACAAACTTTCTTGCTGTAGTGTCCAAAAACATTTACCATCATGTAATCAGGAAGACACCAATAACACTGGGCATGAGGAAAAGAGAGGAAAAGGGTTAAAGTGGAGGAAGGGGAATCTTTGAGAAAGGGGAAAGAAAGGGAGGGAAATGTATGACCAAAGAAAACTACCAGATGTCTACAACCAAACAAGATAGTCAATACAAGTGGAAACACTAGCTGGGGAAAAGTGTTTTCCCAGAACTCAGGAGGCTGAGGCAGCAGGATCAAGAGTCTGAGGACAGTTTAAGCAGCATAACGAGACCGTTTCAAAAAACCAAAAAAAAAAAAGGTAAAGTAGTAGAAAGGAACCACACAGTGGTTTCAGATTCTATGTGTCATCCACATGGAGAAGTCCAGGAAACAATGGGATATACAAGTCTGGATTTGGGGAAAAAAAGATAAAGATCAGAAACAGACTTCTCAGCCTATTGACAGTATCTAAATAAATGAGAAATGGTAGGAAAATATAAACCCATGGTTAGCATACCACTGTTCAAAGATAAGAAAACCTTATTAAGCAATACCTCATAATTAATACACATGAAGTCAAATGGTTCAATATTCTGAATTAACTTTCTATAGAGAAGGAAGCTTTGATGAGCAAATCTCATTACTTCAGTAATGACACTTCAAACAATCACATAAAACTGGTACTGAACTCAAGCCACTTGCCTCTTCACACAAATAGAAAAGTTAAAATATTTAAGTTTAACAAAAAAAATTGACAAAATACAGTCTTAAAAAATAAGTGTAACTCAAAATTACTTGCATCAGCCAACCTGTTTCTTGCAAAAAGTCAAATTAAAAGCCAACATGTTTTTATCTTCTAAGGTCAAAAAATTTTAATTAAAAATTTTAAATTGAACAAAAGTTTTTAGTTAAAAAAATAACCTATTGGTGAATCTAGTTAAAAACAGAATCAGTAGAGATTTTTCTTTTAAATTGGAAAATTACTAACTAAAAGGGCAAGTACTTCTCTATTCTTAACAAGTCAGTTTTTTTAAGGTGGTTTATTTTATAAATCCAGGTTGAAATAATAGTCTTGTACTCTTCCAACTTCAACTAATGAAGAACTCAAAGACAAATCCACATAAAACAAACGATATTTTCACAATAGGAATGAGAATTTGACAACTCATCGGTTTGCTCTACAGAATGTTTTGCAAAGGAGCTTTCTTATAGGAAAAGATGTTATACAAAGCAGGTAGTGTTTGTTTCAAACAGTCTTCTGCACCCATTTCTCTTTATTTTCAATTTTTCCTGCATGTGATTTTCCTCAGATATCAAAACCATCCCTTCAACATTACCATTTATTTCTATAGGCAAAGGAAGTTCAAAAAGTAAATGACCCTTGTCTATCCACTATCAATATGGCTCAAACCATAGTGCCTATTTGGGTTAATAACGCACAAGGTCAAAGAGAGGTTGTCAGTTCATGATCAAAGCAAGCTGGCTATTCTTCCTGTCATTTATGTGGAACACACAAGATGTGTTTATTTTTACCAGCCTCTGAATGACCTCCTTTAGGTGGCATGGAAAAGATCCCACATTTCTATAAAGTATTACTCAAAGGAGTTTTTTTATTTGATACCCTCATTAGGAGCAAATTTTTATTTTTTTTAAACTTTTGATCTTTTTTCATTTACTCAAGAACCCTGCAAGTTAAAGGCCATATTGTCTAAATCAAACTGGCATAATGGATAAAACAAGGACAGGGCAATGACAGATGCTCAAAAGGAAATAGTATTCATCCAACAGTCTGCCATCATAAAACATGCGCTCATTAGCATTTTTTTCTAAATTGTTTTCTAATCTTAAATGCAATAGCATTTAAAATTTCAAAGTTCAAAAGGCAACCCAACAAAGTCATTTTTACCTGTATTTTTGCAATTTAAAACTTTTATCGATCAAAAATGAATAAAAATTTAGACTATGGCTATCTTGTCATAAATACATAATTCCTGGACCTTAATCAATGAGATTATAATATAATCACTTGAAACACTCTGAGGTACTTTTTTTGTGTTCCTGTTACAGTGAGGTGGTCTTCTGCCTGGTGGCTGGAGACAAAATGAAAAGAAAACCTATTCAATACTAAGAATACATAGGAAAGGAAACAAAAGCAAATGACAAGAGATGATGAAAATCAACAATGAGCCACATGGGTAACGGGGTGCAGCTCAGTGGTAGAGACTTGCCTAGCAAACTCAAGGCTCTGGGTTCCATCCCTAGTACCACCAAAAAGCAGGGGCCGGAGAGAAACAACGTAAAATAATTATTAGATTCCTATAAGTAGAGGCTCCCAGTACCACCCTGCTATTTTGATCTTTGATTTAGGGCAGAAGGGATTGGGTGCAACAGAAAGGGAAGCAGTGTACTATAGTATGCACCTTGAATTTCAATTTTACCTCGTTCTCACAAAAAAAACTAAAAATAAATAAATGAACACAGAACGTATAAAAGAGAGGAGGCTGAGGGGGAAAGGTAGAGCTAAGATTTAATGTTAACAATATTTGAACAACTCATCTTTGTTATTCTTTGTCAGGAGGTGGTAACAAGTGGGAAGGTATCTAAATAAAGCAAGAGGCTTGACAGGATGGGTAATCTATCACCGAAAGACTTCAAGTGCATAAATCTCACTTGAATCTGATGTTTTCTCAATGTTAATTGTTACTTTTACAGGATTTACTGTGGAAAGAGCCACCTTACTAAGAACTAGTTGTAATGACCAAAAGCCTTTAAAGTTATTAAAAATACTTAATCACACATAATATTCTTTTTAATTTTTCTTTCAGTCAAGCAGAATGGTACATTAAAAGAACCTATGTAATAGTAACCTTTTCTTGTACGCCATTACTTATTTCACTTAATCATTCAAACAAAATACCATTACTTTGAAGCACATTCACAAACAGTAACATAGTGTACATACTATATAACAAAACCTGCTGAAACAAATTGTATGAGAAGTTTTTTCCTTTTCCTTATTGTTTATTTTGTGGTACTGGGGATTGAACCCAGGGCCTCATACATAATATGCTCTAAGCCACATTTAAGTTTTAAACAAATTTTACATATAGTCGAGAATAACTTCCAAAGATTACATTATAAAATTAATAATGTAATCATTATTATTTAATAATTTTAATAACTATTAAAATTAATCCCAGAAACTACATTCTATATGTTTTATAGAGGGTGTCAGCTGCATTAAAATATCTTTATACTTTTTCATCTTTCCTTTAGGCGGTAAATATATAATTTGGGAACATAACAGAGTTCTCACTTAAAAAAAAAAAGCATTACCTGAAAATGAGAGGCATCAGGTAAACACTATCCCCTACTCTGGTTTAATTCTTTCTCCTGCTCAAAAACCTGATGCCCCCACCACAGCTCAGTAATAACTCCCCTGTCCCTTCAGAGTTAAAAATACTATCACATTCGACTGTCACATCTATGTAAACAATACTAAACCTGTACTTCAGTGTTGAATTTTTTGATATCTGCCTCAATTCTACAACCTTTTACCTGACACCTTTATCTGGCAAGCATAATAATAAAATAGTTAAATGTACACTCTACTCAAGACTGCTTAGGTTAAAACCCAACCTTTACCAGTTATGAACTGAATAGCCTTAGAGAATTTCAACTGCTGCTTCATCCGTCAAACAGGAATAAAAATGGAATTATTTTTCCAAATAATATCCAACTCATGTAAAGTACAAGGAATGGTATCTGCCACACAAAGATAATCAATAAAGGCAACTATGTCTATTACCCTATTAAAATACCTAGCTGTGGTTTCAAATACAGAATATTCAAATATAAAACAAGCATTCCTCAAATTCAACTCTGAAATTCCTTATTTCACTCTAGCCAGAGACTAGAGATGGAGTCAATCAACACTGGAAGTGTAAGGCATTTCTTCTTCTCAATCTATTCCTCCCAACTCTGCACGCCTCCACTTAAGATGAAATCCTAAGAACCTGAACTGCTGCAACCATACTATTCCTTACATTAAGCCATCTTTCACACTACTGCTAGAATTCATCCTCTGAGACCAAGGGAGAAAACAAGAAGACAAATCTTATATAAAGTTTATCATTTACCATTGCATAAAGATACAGAATACTGCCTAAGTAAAAGGAGAAGGAACAGATTTTTAAATGTCACTGAAACAATTCAATGTCTACATTGATAAGCGAAAAAAAATCTGAAAGATGCATGGAAGTTACATGAAGAAAATCAAAAATTCTTAGAAAATCAGAATAAACCTAAATATAATTGTGTCCCATATAACAATGTTTCAGTCAACAACAGACCACATATAAACAAGTTTATGGTCCCATAATAAGATTATATCACCCAGTGATATCACTGCCATCTTAGTTTATATAAGAACATTCTATGATGTTCATACATAGACAAAAACTGGGGCCCAGGCCTCATGGTATCTTGCGGTCTCAGCTACTCAGGAGGCTGAGGTAAGAGAATTGAGTTTGAAGGCCAGCCTAGGCAAAAAGTTAGCATGATTCTTTCTCAAAAGTGAGCCAGGTATGGTAATTCAGACCTATAATACCAGCTACTCAGGAGACAGGGGAGCTAGAATGCTCTTTTTCAGAGGTCAGCCCCAGGTAAAGCTAGCGTGAGACCCAATCTGAAAAACAAACTAAAAGCAAAAGGACTGGGGATGTGGCTCAAGTGGCAGCAAGTAGGAGGCCCTGAGTTCAATCCCAATACTGCCAAAAAAAAGCTTCATTCTCATCAGATAAATTCAAAGCAGCATAATCATAAACTTAAAAGACCAACTCATACTGTTTTGATACGTACTCTGTACTTATATTGATATTAGGAATCTCTTAAAAGCTAAGGTGTTCATATTCTTACCCTGATTATTAAAAACTTCCACTTACTTGATTGAGTTTCTAAAGTGGTCTTCTGCTGGGTTTTTTACAGTACAACTGTTCAGGAGCCATAAATCTGCATCTGATGCATTTTCTAGAAAAAAAAATGAATGCAAAAAAGAAAAGTTAAATATCACATTTAATCAAATCAAAAATATCCAAGTGCTTACCCAGATGGCATGGGACTGCTGGGGAAAGGGAGACAGAAAGTAGTGTAACATGAAATCACAATATAGTAGTCAATTACTAGAATATGGAAATCTTCATGAGCAATACATAGAAAAATGTGTGCTCTGTGCTACAGCTTTTCACTTAAAATGTAATGAGGACAAGCCTTTCTTCCTTTATGTTCAGTGCATAAGAGTACTATTTAATAACTTCCAAAAACTAAATTGAAACTAGCCCCAGTCTTCTCTTTGAATATAAAATTAATTACCCACCTTTAGACTATGTGCTAATATTTTTCAGTCATTACTCTCAGCATACACTATGCTTTAGCTTGAGAAGTTACTAAAAATATAACTTGTCTGCCTTGAATGATTTACATTAAAGTGAGCCTTTTATTCCTATCAATTAAATATTGTTATAATACTAAAACCCACTGGCAATCAAAAACCAATCCCAATCCTGTTTAATAAAACATATTAGAAAATACCTAAAGTGCTGGATACTATTCTACATTCCTTACTAAGGAAGTTACACAGAAAACAAACTTCCTACAAAACAAAAGAAGGGAAGCAGTGCATAGCTATCTCCCAGTAAAGAATACTGATTCCCCATCATTTAACTCCCGATGAATATGCTTCTTGGTTCTAAGATGGCGTCAACTATGAGACGGCATGAACACTACCAAATATGTTTATCCAGAGACGTGGGACATTATATTCATGTTCTTATCAATCTTAGGATACACACATATTTCAAATACTAATATGGAGAAGAGGTGATAAAATGCATTTTAAGAGGAAAAAATAAGGCAGTTTGACATATCTTCACTGGGGTACCAGCATTTAGAACCAACAGAAAATATAAGATCTGACTTCCAAAACTTATACCCCAAATAAAATAAAATGTACAAGTTCACTACCACTAGTACATGATTTAGATATTGGATTAATATCTCAGAGATGATGGTGTTGCCTTACAGAGGATTCATGAGGCTTTCCAGTCCCTTGGAAGGAGAAGCATGTTAGAGGAGACCACTTAAAGAAAGAAAGACAAGGTAGATGGGCAACAATGGACCAAGGAAGGGAAAGGCAGTAAGAAGGAACCATGTGACCCAAAAAAGAATTCTACCGACTTTTAGATTTGGCCTAGACCACTAATAATCCTTCACATGAAGTTAAAATCATCTGCACGTAAGCAAAATGTTGCCAATGTCACAGCTAGGATATCAGATCTGGTTTGGAAGCCAGGCTTCAGGTTATCTAGGTAGAATATAGATTTTAAGTCTACATTTAGTCATTCCCTATTACAAACAGTGCTCCACTGAATAGCACTGTGTATGTGTATATGCATACATACATACACACATGTACCTTTAGAATCAAGTCCAAAAACTGGATTGTTGGGGCAAAGAATAACTTCATCTGAGATTCCATTCCATACTATGAAATTCCCCTATATAAGGACTATATCACTTTGCTCTTCAATGAACAAGGCATGTAAGTGTCATTTACCCACAGACTTGCACACTCAGTGGGTTATCAAAACTTTGGGCTTTTGTTTCTGGTAGGAAACAAGATCCCAAAGAGTTTAATGTGAATTTCTCTTGATATGAGTTGAGCAACTTTCCATGTTTAAAGACCATTCACAATTTTCTGTATTGGGCTTTTGCTTTTCTGTTTCTCATTTATTCCAATCTTATGCCCACTTAATCTATTAGGCTAATGGTCATTTTCTTCTCAAGTTTTAAACCGGACAGAGCTTTAATTATGTCTGTTAGAAGTAACAGTATTTTCCTGGTTTGTCATTTTGCTTTTTTGTATATTTTCTTCACACTATTTAATTTCTAAAATATCAAATTTATCAACCTTTTATCTCATTGTGTTTGAATTTTGACTCATAATTAGAACACTTCCCATTTCCTCTCTTCCCAGATTACTAAGGAACTCATGCATGTTTTCTCCTAACATCCATATGATTTTGCATTTAGATCTCTTGATTAGGATTTATACTAATACACACTGAGCTCATTTGATTTTTAAAATGCAAAATGACATAAGATGCTATATTCACATAACAAATTGCAAAGTATTTTTAAAATGTGTTGCAACATAGTATAGGGAATAGGGAATAGGGAAGCAGGCAACTTTTTTTCTGCTAATGACAGTCTATACTGATGAAGCTCTCTGGGGAGGCAAGGTAAGAATAGCAAATATTTAAATGCACAGAATTCCTCCTATACTTGCTTGTAGAAAGCTTGCATCACTCACACAGACACACACACATACACAGGAATTCAAACACACGCATAAATTTTTAAACCCTCTCTGAAGATTTTGATAAAAAAAAAAAAGCCTGTATGACCATTAAAGAAAGATTGGCTCAATAAATTATGGAATTTGTTATGTTTTAAGATCTTAAAGCCCCCCAACAAAGGCCACACATTAAAAGCTTGATCAGCAGCCTGTGGCATCTTTGGGAGGTGGCACAACCTTTAAGATATGGAGCCTGGTGGAAGGAACTTTGGTTATGGGGCACTGGAGGCATGGCTGACATCCTGGCCCTTTGGCTCTTGCTTTGATTTCCCAGCTACCCTGAGATGAGCACCTTCTCCACCACACACTTCTCCAAGGTGCTCTAAACATCACCACAGGCCCAAAAACAACGGGGCCAAACAACCATGGACAGAAACCATGAATCAATGTAAATCTTTCCCCCTTTACATTGATTTTCTCAGGTTATTTTGTCACAGCAAGAGAAAATTAACACAGGATTGCAGCTGAAATACATCTGAAAAGCAAGCTAAATCTCTAAGTGCTAATTTTTTAATAATCTGTACACCATCAGCTGAAACAAAGCCAGGTGAAACAAAGCAGGAGCGTCCATCTAGTAGCTCAATTGTCTCTTAAAAAGGAAAAAGAAAAAACAAAAGCATATAATGTTCTATATAAACAAGTTTTCTAGAAGCACATATGAAACAGAGATGTTTGCCTCCTTGGAAATAAGATGAAGTTTCAGTTGTTCTCAAATACAGTACTCCTAAGTGCCTTTTATATTCTTTCTTTGTAAGTTTTTATAATTTTTTTCTTTAATCCTAAAAGATAATATAGAATATTTACATCTATATCATTTGAATTTTAAAAGCAGGTAAACTTAAACTTTTTTGTTTCCTTTCCTATAGTTCTCTTTTTATGTTAAGGTGTGACTGTCAACTATCCATGCTGCGATCCATCATGAAAGTAGACCTGATACACATTTCCTAAGGACTTTCTCCCTCTTCTAAAAGCTTTTGTGCTCACTGAACCAAGAAAATGCTGGTCATCAACAAACCACCCACTCTGAGGAGAGAGAAACAAACCATTATTTATTTTAATCAAAACACACTTACTTTCTGAATGATTTCTCTACATACACTAGAAATTACATTCAAGTCTAACATGATAAAAATCTGATTAGTAATCGTGATAATCACTAACATTACTGTAGACACATTTTATGTCCAGCAGTAAGTCTAGCATGCTGCAGCAGCCACTTTTCATATAATCCTCCCACTGGAGGTGGGTTCATTTTCATTCCAATTTTACAAAGGAGGAATCTAAAGCTTAGAAAGGAAAAGTAACTTGCCTAAAATTACACAGTTAAAGGCTGGGCAAGGATTAGAAATCCAGACAAACTGACTCCACAGAATGAATCGAAGGAAATTAGCATGCCTCATTAGTGGCTCTTTGCCTCTTGATCAAAAATAATGCAGATAATAACTAAAGACAAAACCAAGAAGTAGTACATGGCCTTGAGGGTGTCTCATGATATTTCTAAGAAGACTAATAATCAAGCTTCAAAAGCATCTGGCTCACTATTTCCAAGATTTTAAACATGTCAGCTTTTGGTCTCCTGGAATTGATGACAGACATAGAAGTAAAGGGAGAATTAATAATGAATACAGGGTTAGCACAGGCAGACTCACAACCACCAACCTGCTCGTTCTCCCCACAGGCTTCTGCATGGTTCACATCAACACTACTAAGGAGAACAAACAGATATCTCACACAACAGAGGAGCACCATAAAACAACAAAAAGAGTCTCTTCATAGATTTAAATGAGGAGGGTAAATAGGCTGATCCAACTAAAAGTTCACTAAGAAAAAAACAGAGAGGAAAGAGTTGGATTGCTTTGGACCCAAAAGCATTTTTTGAATTTGTTCACCACAAAACTCTGGAAGACAAGTCCAAACAGTTGGAATGTCCATTACCCTTAAATACCTGGAAATTTATTTACATAAATCATTGAGAGCCTACTAAACATTTAAAGATTAAATGGAGTATATATTATTAAGAGAATGTAAAAGCACCTAATTGAAGGTACATCGTGAAAAGTAACTTGTTTTTTGTTGGTTTTTTTGTTGTTGTTTTATTGTGCGATACTGGGGTTTGAACTCAGGGCTTCACTCTTGCTAAGCAGGAACTCTACCACTTAAGCCATGTCCCTAGCCTGAAAAGCAACTTCTTGAAACTAATAAAAGATAAAATAAAAATTCTGACAAATGAATTAATTTTTTACTCTACATTTCATTCATTGTCCTTTATATAGACCATATAATGGCATGGGGTAACTGTGTTTTCAAAATCTGTTTTCAGATTCATTAAAAACAATTCTATCTTTAGCTAGCTAAGGTTAGGGAGGATGCAGAAGAAGGAACAGGGTAGAAAAGGATGGAAAAGAAGGACAGACAAGGGCTCAGAGAACCTAGAGATTCCAGTCTAAAATTCTCATAGGGAGAACTGGCCCTGGGTTCTGTGGCTACAGTGTGTGATTGTGTGGGGAGCCTCCAAGTAAAGCAGAACATAAGAGCTCCCAGGGAGAAGCATTTTGTCCTGAAGATTACTCATATAATGAGTTTGTTCTTTTAAAATAGTCCCACTGAGCACTTC